GGCGAATGGGGACATTTTCAAAGGGAGAATGATAAATGTAGCATGCTTGCATTTCATTTTTTCTTCCGTTTAACCTTTAAAACTAGAAATATGGCAAGTTTTGCCCACGTTGGCTCATGAAAATGGACTGCAACACAGAGCAGACTGCAGTTCTTCCTATAGAGATACACCCCCACTCTATAAGCATTATGTATAGTACATAAAAACAGTACTTGGAGTTACTTAGATCTCAAATAAATGAAACATTGTTGTCTGTAACAAAAGACAGTAGAAGCTTTGGCTATCAATCCTTCCTTTGTGCTGCAGAAGTCAAAGGTATTTGCTTCATGGCTGGGGAGTGAAGAATGTAGTTCTGTTGACCCTGTCAGTAGAGTGCCACAGGATGGCAAACTGGAAGTCTTATCCTGAGACCTTTTCCTTTATTAGGTTACAAGGTTTGAACGTGGTGCGAAAAATCATCTCTGTGTATGGAAAAGTGATATGAGCAGCTGATATTTTTCATTGTTTACTTTTTTTTGAACTTGAAATGTAGGGCTTCTGTAGCCAGAAAATATTGTCATGCTGTGGCCTAGTGAATTAATTCGTTTTAATCACTGTAAGAATTCCGGAACTTTTTGTTGTTGTATTTTTATTTTGTAAAGCTGGAGCATTACAAGTACTTCTATTTGTTCTAGTGCACTTAAGTTTTTCATATAGCTGGAAATATTTGTGCCTTCTCTAGAACTGGATGGAAGATTTAGTTAATAATGTCCTAGCTTCTAGAAACAGCAGTTCAGTACATTCTGAAAGATAATGAGGAAAAGTTCAGTTACTATTCTTGTTTGGCCTGTCACCAAGGGAAAAAAAAACAAAAAACAACCAGCTTCTGAAGAGTGTAACTGTTATGTTTTTTCAAATTATATGTTCCAGATGTATTAATGAATGTTTTTGAAGCATCGTTGCACTCATATCAAGTTGAAGGGCTGGGTGGAAATTGCCTAGGCATGTGCGATACACCAGCACAACTGTCTGAGAATTTTGAGGTATTTATGGACACCTAGGAGATGTGATTAAAAGCTGGCTCTGTACTCAAACTTTGAGGTTTGTCCTGATCAGTATCTGTAGGAATTCCTATACTGAGTAATGGAAGAACTACGTATTTTATTTTAAAAAACGAATACTTGGCAGGGTAGCAATATGAACGTGTTCAAACAAGCTCTTGAATTGTTTGTTGATATGTGCAGAAGCCAGATCTTTTCAAAGAGAATCGGATGTTACTGATGTGTTCTTAATTCTACTTGTTGATTGAGGCAAAATTGTTTAACACAAATATTTTTGTAAGTTCACAAACATTCATTAAACATGGAGATAACAAAAATAAAAGATGGTCTGTTTTTTTGTTATAAGCCTACTGCGTGGAAGTCTGTCTCTTAAATACTGAAGAAAGTCTGAATGTATAAAGAAGGGTTGAGGGAACTGGCCTTGTTTAGCCTGAAAAAGAGAAGGCTCCAGGGAGACCTCATTGTGGCCTTCCAGTACTTGAAGGGAGCATATACACAGTAGGAGGAATGACAGTTTATGAGGGTGGATGGTGATAGGACAAGGCGGAATGGTTTTAAACTGAGACAGGAAGGCTTAGGTTAGATATTAGGAGGAAGTTTTTCACTCAGAGAGTGGTGATGCACTGGAACATGTTGCCCAAGGAGGTTGTGGATGCCCCATTCCTGGAAGCATTCAAGGCCAGGTTGGATGTGGCTCTGGGCAGCCTGGTCTAGTGGTTGGTGACCCTGCGCACACTAGGGGGGTTGAATCTAAATGATCATTGTGGTCTTTTTCAACCCAGACTATTTTATGATTCTGTGATACTGCTGTGGGTAAAGTTAAGGACTATACTATGCCTGAGCTTCTTTCCTTATTAAGTTAGGATGAGATTTAGACGACTGCAGTCATTCTGTCAGAAAGTGGTAATGTTGCTGAGAGATATGTGCAGGCTGTAAGGAATATTTGAATCAATTACAGCTAGACAAGTGCTATATTGCATTGCATGCAAGTGGGTTTCTTTTGTTATGTGTATTTAGGACACAAATGTGCAGTTTTTCTTTTCAATGATTGCCCAGAACGGGGTAAGAGGAAGGAAAATGGAGAAAAAGGGTATTATCCAGTAAACAAAACCAAGGGAGGGACTAATGAAGGAATCTCCTGGCAAGTCTCTGTCTCCAGTGTGTGTGGCACTTTTTTTTCCTGCATTATTTTCAAACACACCAGTCCCTTTGTTATTTAGTATACAAATGAAAAAAGGCTCACAGAAAGAATGCATAAGTGACTCCAGTAGTTTCTGTGTGTTATTGCTGTATATATTTAGCTGCAGGTCATGGCCAATGGAAAAACTGTGTCTAAGTCACTTGGTTTTTGCTTCCAGTGAATTGTACTGCCTTTCTTTAACCATGTTTCAGAAGTATGTTCACAGTGAACAAGGTTATTTACCTTACCTATCCCCCCTTGTAATTTTTTTTTTACTTTTCTGTTTTCAGTTTTTTTCACCGTATTTGTATCCCGGGAGTTATGCTAGCTGTGACCCACTAAAAATAAAAGTAGAGAGATGCTCTGTGGAGAGAAAGAATTGTTTCCTCTTTCTGTTTGCTCTCTTCTTTAGCATGCGAGCACTTTATTACCCTCTTACTGTGAGTACAATGAGATGGCAGTTTCCAGCACTTTACAGAAAACAGGGTTATTCTACTTAGCCTTTGCGAGTACCTGAGCATCATAAAAAGTTGTCTGAGTCATTTAATCTACCTGCAGAAAAAATGCTCCATCTTTTGAGAAGTATTGCAGCAGCTGAGGGACTTAAAGTTCAACAGCCCCTATCTTATCCAATACTCTGTGGTTAACTTTTTCCCTTTTTCTTCTGTAGTGGCACTAATTTTACAAATATCATATGACTCTTGGTGGCACTGCTAGCTTAATGGACCCTCACTTTGTTTAGGAATTTGGCTCTATGCAGGTCAGTATATGATGTTCAAAGTGCCTAGAGCTAGGTTTAGTCTTCATGGTATGTTGCTTCATTGCTCCCTTCCTAAGGCCTGTAGGAGGCTCAATCACTTCATAAATAACTGAATATATTTGTCACTGTGGACTGTTGTTCAAATGTTTGCTTCTACCACACAGCACTGTCGATACATATTTATCCACCTTTTCTCATAGCACTGGAGTTGTGCATGGGACTAGAGGGATGATGCTTGGCACTTTGGTATGCCCAGTTCTGGATTTTTGGGAAGACTTTGACTGTTATAGAAGCTTTCTTGGAAGAAGGTGGAAAAGTGATCTGCTGTTTTAACTGAGTTTCTGGGACATGTCTCTACTCAGGATCTTGTGTTATTGAGAAAGTAATAAAGCTGAGGCTGCTGCTGATCTTCTTAGAGATGGCTGACTGTGTTTGTTCTTTGTCCCAGTTTTCTCCAGTGACAGATTACATTTCATCTGACTTAATTGTGAGAATCACTTCTGTCCATTATGTGTAGGTGCCAGCTTCCAAATATTGTGTTTACGTTACAAAATATAAGTTGGGTATTTCTGTTTCAGTTTTGTACATCATGTACTTAGATTTAAAAAAGTAAGCTTAATATGTGTGTAAAACAAAGGGAGAATTCTATTACTTGATGTAATGTGTGTCTGTCAGTGTTGTTTTTTAAGATGAAATTGTCATAGCATTGGTCACAAGGTGGCACTGCTACATACAGTCTTGGTAGACAGTAATCCTTTGGGAATGTATCTGACAAGGGGGTAAGGATTTCTTGTTCTCTGCCTATAATGTTAACTATATACTCATTTTATTGTAACTTCCATGCTACTTTTTGCATTTTATGGAAATACTGTAATTTTTGTGCTAACAAAAAAAAAAAAAAGATTTCCAGCTACACAAAGAAAATTCAGCTTCTTACTAATAACAGAATTATATTCCATACATTCTGTATTTGCAGTAGCTCAGGACAGTAGTTTTTAATTGTACATTATACTTCCGCATTAAGATTTGCTCTTCAAATAGTATCATCTTATGTTTTTACTGAGATCTATTATAGTTTTACCTTTTTTTCCTATATATATATATCTCAGATTTTTCTAGATCAGTATCTTGTTCATAGAATAATCACTGGCATTTTTCTATTCAAAGTTTTCATGCATTTTAACCACCCTAACATTGTTCCTCCATATTTTGTTATGTAGCTTTTCAGTGTTTTTATGCCATTTTCTTTACTAATATGCTTCTCAGCCATGCAGGTGTTTGTATTGCTTAATTCCAATTCTGAATTACTTCTGAATCTGAAAGGTAATGTTCTGATGTTTCTGCCACTACTGAATTTGGTGGAAATTTTTTTGGCTTGTTAAAGGGCCAGAATTTCAGCATTCCCAGTGTCTAAGGTGGGCTAGGGGTATGTTTTTAAAGAAAAAAAAATTCACCTGAGAGCTAGGCCACATTAAAGCAAAGTGAGCTTTTCTCTTCTGAACTGGCAAGTAGTAGATGCTGTAGCCATGCATGAAGCTTGAAAGAGATGTTAAAAGTTAACATTTAAAATGAGGAATGGAATTGTGTCTCACCTGAATCACTGGTGTGCAGTACTGTTCTCACAGTTGAGAATGTGGGAAGAGGGGAGATGCTCAGCAGTTGACAGTCAAAACAGACATCGATTAAACTACAGTGGAGTCAAGGAAGACTAAAAAGAGGATTAAGAGATTCCCATCTGTTCTCTGCCCTATTTTTTTCTTTTGGCAGGTACATTGGCACTCTTCTAGGTATTGCGTTGAGACTGCAGGTGTCCTGTATTTCATGGTAAGCTTTTCCTTATCTCACCAGACATACAGTTGAGTTATGAAGTAAGATTTTAGTGCTGGTACAGTGTTGAAGTAATAAGGGCATTTGCATTTTCCTCTAGAGTAAATAAAATTTGTGACATATTGT